GGGAATTATGCTTTATGCTTTACTGAGGACTTTTGTTTGCTTTTAGTGTATTATCTTCGAGAGAATCTGAAGCCGTGATTATTTTTGTTTTGTGCGTTATTTTACCAACTTTTCTTGATTTTTCTTGGTGTTACTTCATTTTGTCTCCTGCAAATAAATTAGTGCCAACCTAGAAAAAGGCAAGTCTCTCTTGGGGTAGTGGAAGCACAGCTGATAATTCCGTGCATGATTTCAGACGGCTACCTAAAACAGTCGTGACTTTTGCAGATTTAAGACGTGATGGAATGCATGTGAACAAACCAAAACTTCTCTGTATTTGCTATTGCAGACGCTTCAGCAAAACAACCTAGACAGAAATATCCCTGTTTTCACTTATTGAACTGGAAGATTTGATCTCTCTTCATCTTACCAATGTAATGAACTTTGTTTTTCCCTAAAGGTTTTCCTGGCTGAGTAAAGCATGTGTGTGTTAACAGTCAAGTGAGCTTCGGGGATGGTATTATTTATTCTATTTATACAGAATAATTTTTATATATATATATATAGGGATGTAGGTGCCATTGAATTTTGAAAGAAAATAAATTTTTGATGAAACAAATTGTTTTAAAACAGAGACCCCCAAGTCACTGAGCGTATTTTTGCTTTGATCACTGTGCCCGTTTATCTAGCAAAGGAAATAGCAGTGATAAAATATTAGCATGAAGACCCACATTACTTTATTCAGATGCTATCTTTAAAATAGGAGCTAGTGAGGGTTGTTGAAAGATTGAATAAAAGTCAAGGAAATTTAGATAGGAAATATGTTTTGCTGGATAATGTTAAAAGCAAGAAAAGCAGATGAGATTTTAACCTTGCTATTATAAAATCAGTGCTGTTGTGTAATCCTGGAAATCCTCCTGCAGGATTGGGAACAAACAGGAAAAATTTCCTAAATAAGAGTTATGTAGTTTGAGAAGATGGAAATTGTCATGGATTTGTCATGACATGAATGTTGATATTCCTTACTACAAACTGAATGCTGTGGGAGCTGTAAGCTTACTCTCAGAATGTCACCAGAGTTCCATTATATAATTAAAAAGAAATTAAGATCTGACAATGACAATTGATTTCCTAAATGGCAACAGAAATGCTCACCTGAAATACAAGCTGTCAAGTGCTGAGGCAATGGCATTGCTGCCTGTTTCACTGCAAGAACATTTCTATGCCTTCTTTCCAGATCTATTGACTCTAATTCCAGTGTCTGCTCTTTCCAAAGCATTCTCTTTCCCAGAAGTGTCTCCCCAGTGTTTCCCCAACAAAGTTAAATGTGTGCCAGGTGAGGAAGTCATCTGTTCAAAGATGACGAGCAGAAGTGAACAAATAGCCCCAGCTTGTACTCACCTGCAGGTTGCAGACAGCAGTCAATAATCCCTCGATCCATACAAGCGCAGAAGAGTACGGCTTCTTTTAAGTCTTAAGGGAATCCTACCAAAATTACCGATAGCCATAGCTCCTATTTGCTGATGGATTACCTGACAGTGTATAGGGTACACTTAATAAACCTTTTTAGCTTTAGGTATTTTTTTCTTGGATTTCTGTTTTTTTTTTCTGGCTGCAGAATGGTTCACGGGGAGACCAAGATATATTTACTTAGTACTCATTAAATGATACGAGCTTGTGATTTTCCCTTCTGATTCTGTACCTGTGCTAAGAATTACTTAAACGGCTGGATAGTAACATTAATGTAGTGCAGGTGATCATTCCTGTAGTGCAGTGCAGATTTCAGTCACTCCTTACAAGTGGCATTAAACTGTTTTCTTGCCTGTGCTAGGAGGCAGCAATAGGAAGGGTACAGTGGGTGCTTATATTGCCACATAAATATTTCTAACGTCTTTACATTCACTAGAATATGATTGTTGCTTTCCATTCATAAGCATCTAGAAAATCCATATAGTTTCTCCTGACTGTGTAAATAACACTAAAATAAGGCATTGAAATTGCCTATAGACTTACTTCTTTTTAGAACTAAAATTATTCTGTTTCCTGTAGATGGAACAGGCTTTCTCAGACAATGTTCCTTTGTCCTGGTTAGAGAGGAAAACAAAGATAAAGCGGAGTGCTGATTCTCCATCAGTCTAGCATAAGAAGCAACAGTTATGAGAGGGAAAGACAGTAACTGGGAAATGTGAAGGTTCAGAACTTGCTGCAGCTGAGCTCACGTGAGCCCAGTTCCACCTTCCCTCACAGCTGTGGTCCAGAGGTGAGGTCCCATCCTCACTGTCAGCTATTTCGGGGCTTTGACTGGGAACAACCGACGCCACAGCCATTAGGGGCAGCTTACATCCCTGAGCACAACCTAAACCTGTTGAGCATTTTGAATACAATATTAAACCAAGAGGTTATTTTTTCTACTTTGTTTTGTCCACCTGGAATGCAGCTGGGACAAGTCTCTGTGAAATGGTGCCCTGAAAGTCAGCCGAGCAGGAGAGCTGCAGTAAGATCAGACCTTTGCCGGCTGCACTGTTTGTGTTTTCCAAATTCTGTATGAAAATGTCCCCATTTTGCAACCCAGGGAAGGGTACTGGCTAGATACATTTAACAGGCAAAATTTGCTAAACCAGAGGAAGTTCTGCAAAGCACAGGGCAGGTTTTGGTGACACCAGTAGACACAGGGTGTTGATGACTCTTTGCTTTATCCCACTGTGCTGTCTATTGGGGTCCATGTTTGCGGGCTGTGTCCTTGCTGCCATTCTGTGCTGCGACAGAGCTCCTGCACTCCCATAGGGTTAGTTCCCAGCTCCTATAGAGCAGCTCATGACCACATCCAAAGGTGGGCTAAGAGCTGAAAATGGGTTTTCTTTAGTGCAACCGTGTATCCACAAACAATTATGTTTTACATGTTTGGGGAAACATCTGGGGAAACCTTGTATTAACTTGTGGTTAGAGACCAAAAGCCTCTGTCAAGTGAGAGTAAATTCTGGCTGTGCGTTTGCTTTATGAGTTTGGCTTTAACCCAGCTTCTTTGCAAAACATCCATCCATCCATCCTACAGGTACCTCTGAAGCACACATAAATCATAATTCTTCTAGTCAGAGGGATCCAGGGCAAATATGAACTGTGCTTTTGGACTAGTTCAATATTGATTCAGTAATACATATGGCAGGGTGCAACCCCCTCAAAATAAATAGAGTTAAAATATACCATCAAGTATAATGTCAGGGATTTAGCTTTTTAATACAGGAAAGCCTTCATTCCTTAGCTGAAGTCACTTATATTAGCACAGATTAGAAGCAGGTGCTCAAATATTTTTGACTGAATAAGTAAAGGTACAAATTGGCTATCTCAGATGCTCCTGAGGTTGTTACTACACGTGTCTCATGCAACGGTATGCCAGAAATACACTGCCAAGGGGTAGATTTCAGGTGCCACTGGAACAATTTTGATAAAATTGCCAATGGAGATAGAGCTTAAAGGCAGTTCCCTTCACTAGAATAAGTGCTTCAGGGCTTTCCAGTGCACCCCTTTTCATGTGGTGTGTCGAGTACATGATGTTAGAGAGAGAGAGGAAACAGACGTTTGCTGTTGTACCAAGTAACCCTTAAGGTAACCCAGACCTCAGAGTGAGAGGCTTGTTCTTCATAATGCTTTACCTGGGAGCAGCTGAGTTGAAAGCAAAACTAGCTGAAGCAGGGATTTTGCCTGAGTTCTGATCCAAAGTAACCACAAAGAGGGAGGATTTATGATCTGGTAACTGATCACCTTAAATAGCCTTTGGTACTGTTGCAAATTCTGAGGCTGGGAATAGCTAAAGGCAAATCACACCTGATATTGCTTTGATTCATGAGGAACTTGTCCTGGGTTCAGCTACTGCTGAACCCAGGACAGAACTGCACGGCCTTAAGTAATAGTACCTAAAGGTTAAAGCCTCTGAAGGAGAGAGCAGTCCTGCACAAGGGGCAGACCAGGGTTCCTGCTCTGGCTCCCACAAAGGTATTTATTGCCCAGCTGCTACAGATGCTAGCTGGCCTGCAGTGAAAAGTGTGCTCTGTCTGGTTCTCATAATTTGATACGGTATTGATTAATCCAAATGTGGAATAGGGATATTCGTACATAAAAGCTTTTGTGAGAGCATGTTCCTTCCTCTTGTTCCTTCCAAGATTCAGACTGGAACTTCAAACCCACTTTAAAGAGAGGGAAGGAGGAGAGAGATTTGAGCAGGAAAGTGGAATCTCTTCTCCAGGGTATCCCCTGTGAAGGTGCTCCTGGTGCAGAGGCTGTGTTAGAGCTGAATCAACACATCTCATTACGTCTTCCCAGCGATTGCTGTTCCGTTATTCCAACACTTGTACAGATTTCTCCATCTGAAGCCCAAATCGCCTGCTCTCTTCCTGCCACCCCAGGCTGTTCAGAGGCAGAGCTGGAGTAACGTCAGCCCCCATGAAGCAGCTTGAGCACCTGCGTGTGGGGTCAGTGCTGGGAGACACTGCTGCAGTGCCCCAGAGGTGTCAGTGCTGGCGGAGGCTGGAGCAGTGCACACATACAGGAGCCCTGTTCTTTGCCCCACTATGGAAATTCCTCCATTTGTTGTATTTTCTCAGTCATTTTTACCTCATAGAGAAGGTTATGAGAATTGCTGTTCAGACTAAAAGGGAGCTGAATCAGTTTGGTAGATCAGTGTTTTGGGCTATGGTTCTTACTGCAGCTATTAAATCCCATAGCATCTCGACTAGATCTCCATCCATGGCTGTGTTCCAGGCCAGGTTGGACAGAGCCTTGACATGGTCTAGTGTGAGGCGTCCCTGCCCATGGCAGGTGGTTAGAACTGGATGACCTTAAGGTCCTTTCCAAACCATTCTATGATTCTATATGATTCTATGATCTCAGGTTTTTCATGGAAATTGTTCTGAGCGAGATTATGCAATTATTTACTGTGCAGCAGGAAACAGTAAGACCCTGTCTGTAAGATATGGCAGTAAAAATAAGGTTTTAGAAACCTGAACAAACACCAAACCTGTCGTGGATTTTTCAGCTTCAGAATCTCACTTTATTTTATGGCCAGGGATGTATCATGGTAACGATGTGTTCCTGTGCCCATGCTTGCATAGGGGTACCCCGCTTTCAAGGCTTGGCTCATTTAGACACATTGGTAACTTGCAGACAAAGTCCCACATTCCAGAGGGAAGCAGTCAGAAGAGAAATGCCTAAACTATTCCTACTGCTCAGTCTGAACACTTGTGAGTATGGTGTTGCTCTGTGAGGATTATTCATATCCATACAGTAAATACTGCATAATCTATACCCATGGGGGGCCAGAACTAGGGGTTTACAGCCAAAATGAAGTTGGGAGTTCCTAGTTTTTGGTGGTTTGTCCTTGCTCTTCTTGCACAACCTTTAGTGTCTGGCACTCTTTCAGATGGGCAAGTTAAACCTTTTAACTAGAAGGGGTTGTTTTAGCAGCAGAGATTCTGCCTCAGCCCTCTGATCTATGGAGGGATTCAATGAGTAGCTGTAATTACTTATGGTTGTGTGTTTATCAGAGCATGTTGTACTACTCTGCTTTAACAGTGAGGCTGCCTTTGAATCAGGAGGCATTGACTCAGAAGGGAATGGTCATGGTACAGCACAGTCTGCCCCGCATCCTGTGTCCTACTGCTTCTCAGTGCTTTTTCCCTTTAGGGACCGCTGGAGCTCCTGCAGCAGGTTGAGGAATTGCATCATCTTCTGGCATGGAAGTGGGCAGAGCGTGAATGTGCCTGCCTGTGTTGGTGTGGGGGTCTGGGGGACTGGTGAGGTCTGAGGGCGGGGTGGTGGGGTCTGAGTAGGGGGTGAGGTGGAGACCGGCCGTGGTGTTGGGTTGGTTGCTGTTGCCGGGCGCAGTCTCATCGATGCCACCATCCAGTTGTAGAAGTGCTGGGTGGAGGTGTAAATTCCCGGCCGTTGTGCTCTCCCACAGCCTTCCCCCCAGCTGGTGACTCCCACAAGCCAGAAGAAGTCAGAATTGTTGTCTTTGCACATGAGAGGACCACCGCTGTCACCCTGAGGCGGGGGAGAGAGGATGAAACTGGCATTAGGTGGCCGCTATCGGCACTATGGCTGGTTCCTGCTCTTTCACAGCACGCGCCAGAGCTGTATTCACTGCACAGAGAGGCTCTGCTCAGGTGCTGGAGCCTGCAGAACCTTATCTGGAGCGGGTCCTGGGGCTGTAAGGTAGAGCACGCTCTCGTGTCTGCACAGTGGCCATGGGTGTGTGGAAGATGGGGTGTTCCAGGACTGGGAACTGGACCTACAGGCTGTCGGGAGCACTGGATGGGGCAGAGTGCCAGGCCCCTGGGATGGGGGGGTCACTGGGCAAGGACCTGCAGATGGGAGAAGTGATGGAAGCCCCAGCAGCAGTAGGGACAGCGAGGTGGGAGGGTGACTTTCCAGGCTGAGCACGTTGAGGCTCTGTTTGGACACTTGTGCCCGGGCTGCCTGTGCTGCTGGGGTTGACTTGTAGCACGCTCCTACCTGGCAGCTGTCAATGCCACCCTCCGGGTAGCCAGCGCACAGGTTGTGGGTGTGGATGTCCCCTTGATACCACTCGCTGCTGTTGCAGGTGTTGACATTGATGAGGTGCACCTTGGCCTCCTGCAGGACAGTAGCTGAGCTTGCAGCTGTGGGCACAGAAAGGAATTAACACTCAGCAGCTCATGGCCAGTTCCCTTTCCCCAATGCTTGGCTTTGCCCCTCAAGAGGCATTGGACCTGTGTTTCCCATCTGTGCTGCTCTGCACAGTGGGTCAGGCCCATCTCTCAAGGCAAACAACCCCACAGAGTGACTCTGGCTTTCACCTCTGCTCTCAGGAAGCCCAGCCCGTCTCCCCAGTGTGCTAAGCTTGCCCTTTGAACATGAGTGTTTCTTGGGAACTCACATTTTGCTTTCCTGGAACCCCAGCCACTGATGTAGCAGTCTGTCAGCTGGGACACTCGTATCGACATGTCTGGCACGCAGATAAGCTGTATGTAGTCGTTGCACTGGAGAGGCCGGTCCAGTTCCAGCAAGGCAATGTCATTCTCCTCTGTGACCCTACTGTAGTAGGGGTGAGCAATTAGCTTCCTAATCTTGCGCACCTGAGCCTCGGGGCCCAGCCGTGTCAGCCGAGTGGCCCCGAGCAGCACGAACCACATCTGGATATGCCTGGAAGGCAGATGAGAAAGGGTCACTGGGAGCAGAGCCGGGTGCCTTCCACTTCACAAGGGTGAAAGGGAAGCAGTGCTGCAGAGGGTGCGACTGTCCCTGTGTGCCTTAGGCTCAAGGAATGTCGAGTTGGAGGCTGCTAGGAAGCAACAGCTTGAACCCAGCCTTCTCCTGAGCAGTCTGTCAGCTGGGCTCTGCAGTGACCAGCCACTGGGCATACTGCGAGGAAATGGGGTGGGAATAACGTGGTGCTGCAGACAGGGCACCTGCTAGGTTATGGGAATACCCCCCGCTCCCTTGTCCTCCTTACTTGGCGTTTATGAAGCAGTGGGCTGCTGTGAGGACCCACTGTGGGCTGATGAGGGACCCTCCGCATATGTGCACGGTGCCTGCTTCTGAGGTCTGCTGGATGCTGACGATCCAGGGCCAGGCCCCTGGCAGGGCATCTCTGCCACCCACGATGCGCTGCTTGCTGTAGTAAGCAGCCATGGGCCGGCGCCCGCAGCTCGCTCTGTAAGCAGAAGCTCATTAGTGTCCTTTCCGATGGCTTGCTGCTGCTGGGGCTGCGGGTCAGCTCTCTCCCTTCCCCGCAAGGTGCTGCATGGACAAGGAGGGCCAGGGAACCCTATGGGGCACGCGTCTGTTCATCTGCCCCGTTTCTGGTTTAGTCCTGTAGACGAGTTGTGCCAGCAGCCCCAGGTGCCCACATGGGGTTTGAGAAGCTGCGGTGTACCGCTGGGGGACAAGCAGGCTCCCTCCAGTGAACTCCGTAAGAGTTGCCAGGGTCCCCTCCCAGAGCCTCGGGCCACTTACCCACAGCTGTTTTGCGTGCCATGAGCGGGCCAGCCCATGGCCAGCGGGACAAGGAGAGGGAGCAGATTCATCACTGCCGGCGGCACATGGCAGCGACAGCAACTGAGGGCTGGGCTGGTCCGCACCGCTGCCGCAGCGGCCACTGCCCGCGGCGACTGATGTCATAGGGTGCGTGGTTCCAGGCGGGCGGGGGGCAGAACCCGGGATCAGGCACTCGCCGCACACCCCTGCTGCATGCTCTGCTTGTGGGACGAGGGGTGCAGCCCTGTGCCGGCAGCAGTGCCTGGCTCCAAAACCAGGTGTGCCATCATAGGAAGTTCCCTGCTGCCACCCTGCTCTTCCCCAGGTGTGCACCAGAGAGCATTGGTACCGCAGGCAGCGTGCCCACGTTTGGGTGGTGAAGACCCAACCCGGTTACAGCTGCAGCAGGCAGGCAATGATGTGACACACAAGTAAGCTAAGCACAGCCAAGCGGCATCCACCTTCCTGCATAAAGCACAGTGAAATGCAGATGAGGCACAGTCCACGCTGGCTACGTCAACTGCAGCAACATCCTCTCGCACGCTCTGTGCTCTTGCTGCCTAAGAGCTCTGTTGCTGTTCTGGGCCAGCACTGACAAAGGCAATTGTGGCACCTGCTATGCTTGGCCAAGAACATGCAGTTTTAAGCTCTGTACTGAGAAGGATGCTTCTTTCAGCCCCATTTACTAATGCCATTCTTAATGGCTTTGGTAAATCCTCATCTCATTTGTCTGCCTTCTACAGCTGTATGGTGGAGACTTGCTCACATGCAGGCAGCATATGTTTTCTTATATTGGAAAAGCAATACTTAAAGGGAGCCAACAAGAAACCTGGAGAGGGGCTTTGGGCAAGGGCCTGCAGGGACAGGCCAAGGGGAATGGCTTTAACCTGCCAGAGGGGAGACTGAGATGAGCTCGTAGGCAGAAGCTCTTCCCTGTGAGGATGCTGAGGCGCTGGCACAGGGTGCCCAGAGAAGCTGTGGCTGCCCCATCCCTGGCAGTGCTCAAGGCCAGGTTGGACACAGGGGCTTGGAGCAAGCTGCTCTAGTGGAAGGGGTCCCTGCCTGTGGTAGGGGGTTGGAGCTGGCTGAGCTTTAAGGTCCCTTCCAACCCAAACCAATCTGGGACTCCGTGATTCGCTGTTTATCATAGTTGCTCCATTGATAACCTTTCTCTTGAAATAGTGATTCCACATTCATTTATGTGCATGCAGTAGTAAAGCATCCTCAGTTTCACAGCTCTGTCCAGCATCCCCTCGTGTCTCTGTAAAGCTGCCTCACCTGTACATGTGCATAAGTTTTGTTTTCCTTGTAGCTTATCAACTTCCCTCTGCTCTTCGTGTCACACTTTCCTTTCTGGCTTTCAGGAGCTGTGTTGGCTGGCTCTGTTCACCTGAAATGCTGCCTGGTCTTTTTCACTTTGTTGTGTTAATGCCTGTCTGCTTTTTATCATGGTAATGTCCCTCTGCTTGTTATCAAGGGGTTCTAAATGTCACTGCTTTACAGAACCTGTGAGGAACGTGACACTATGCTCTTTCACTCTCTTTGCACCACAGCAATCCCATCCTTCCAGCTGAGTACTAAAACCTGCTCTATTTGCTTGCTGGAATTTCTGCATTCAAGCAAGACCAGCACAAACCGTGTATAAAATAGGTAGCATCGAAATTGCTACCTGGGCCTCTTTCCCATGTACTTCCTTGAACATTTACTTTGCCTTTAGCACACGGTCTGGTCCTTGCAGCTGTTCAGTGTCTCCATACTTTGATTAGTGCCTTCCTGCTTAAGCAGTCAGGAGCTTGGGTTTATTTCATTGTTTCCTGTTAAGAGTTAGAACTAATACAAGGCTCCTTTTCTAGCTCTGTTAATGCTCGCATTATCTGCTTGTCACTCTAGAGGGAACAGTGAGGTACTCAGAAGTGGAAAGTGGCAGATGCGTGTCCTGACCCATCAGAATAAAGACCGGCAAATACCGATCTTTATTAAAAAGGTTATTAAAGCTATTGCCAAAAGCTGTAACATTTTGACAGATGCAATCATATTTTCCCAATTCCCAAATGACAGTAGTGCATTTTCTATCTTTTCTGAAGGGGAGGGAGAGCACAGCAATAAACTGTGGTACTGGAGACTAGCAGCTTCTTACTGAAACGTCTGTGGTTGTTACCTACCAAATTCTTTGAGTGAAACGTAACAACTGAGCTGCTTAAAAGCATTTACTTTCCTAATTAAAGGTCAGCATCAGTGGGTGCTATATCCCACAAGTACCCCATAACTTGCACAGGCACAGAACTGAAAATCTGTCTGAGGCTGGTTAGATCCAAAACTAAATCTCTTATGGGAAAAGTATGTAAATGCCTCATAAAATTACAGGGAAGTAGATGTGGCATATGAAGAGGCCTCCTAGTCCAGAGCAGGGTTGTACCTGTCCATGGCAGCATGGCAAACTCTGTACAAGTATTACTTGTCTTCAGTCCACCAGTGGGCACAGAGAACAGATGACTGCTTGATCTGTGTAAAAGCCTTTAAAGAGTTCTCTGCTCTTTCAGGTTCCTCTTTGCTAGTCTAAATCACTTTTACTTCCTCTGGTCTTTCCTTGTTTGTTTTGTGAGTTAGCCCCTGATCATTTCCACTGCTCTTACCTGAAGTATTTATTGTTAATGCACCTCTGTCTTGCAGCTGTGACCTGACTGCCACTGAAACCAGCAGAGGGGCTATTTCATGTGCCTGGCAGGGTGTATTCCTGTTTGTAAGTCTGGTGAAGTGTTTGTTGTCTTTACAGGAAACCATCTTGGTCATTTATGTTCCAATTCTGCCCCGCTGTAAGGTGTAGATCCGCAGCCTGGCCAGCCCTTTGGTGTGGTTTATGCTGTTGTCAAACTTGTAGCCCTTTGTCTTTACTCAATTTCAGGTTGTTACCTTCAAGCCTTTTCTCAAACTTGCAAAGGTCTCCTGCAGTCCTTTCCAACAGGATGATACCTGTTCTGTTAGATCCCCAGCTTGGTTACAAACATATTGACCAGGACCAGACCTACAAAAGACTTGTGTGGAGCTGTGCATCATCCCTCCTGTTGTTTTGATGCTGAGCTGCTGAGAGCTGCCTCTCAAGAGCTATGCACCCAGTTGCCATGTGCCTCGTGGAAGCCTCATAAACCATTCCTTTCCCCAGCTTCCAGAGGAGAATGGTAGGTGAGATAGGTCCAAAAGTGTTACTCACATGAAGACGTAACGTGTTCCCTGTTTCTCTCCTCCACACAAGGATGTGCTATATTGATTCAGTTCTGTTCTACTGCAGTTTTGGCAATTCAGTAGCCCACACTTGTGAGCAGACATCGTTGGTTGTTCCAGTATTTCCTGAGAAAGTGAAAGGCAAAAAAAGGATATGGCCCTGTAATCCTTCCTTCTCTTTTAGCTGTTCGCCCCTTCCAGGGCAAAGGAGAAAGTCCTGCCTTTGGTCTCCTGGTTTTCTGAAGGTAGAGAAAACATAGTGATCACAGAAACACCAGTGCTGGGAAGCTTGGAAGTAAAACAGGATGACAGTATGATGGGAGACATCCCATATACCCTGTCATGTCGGATTTTCTTTTAGAGACTGTGGCTGAGAAACTGTTCTCTTCTGCCCCTTTATGCACGGTGAAGAGAGGTGTCACCTCGCCACAGGCATCACATGGCAGTGCAGCAACAGCCCCTCCAGACCCCTGGTTTGTGCTGATTACAGCAAGATGCTAATGATGCATAAGACATGTGAAAGCAGGAGATGCTGACTCATTCTGGCTTCCTTGGCTAGCAAACCCCCCAGCCTCTAAGTCACGTTCTTTAATTGCTGGTATAGCTCTCAGACAACTGCATCCCTCCATGGCTTCTCAATTTTGGTCTTTGTGTTTCTGATGTAAGACTCTGAGGGTCGACACTGTCCAACCAAAATTAGTAACATCAGGACAACTGTAATACCAAGAAGATGGAAAGTGCCAAAGTGCCCCTCCTCCTCTTTCAGGTGACAAAAATACACCTGTGTTTTACAATTCCTGCCTAAGTAGTCAACAATGTAAGCATTCAGTCCGAGATCAATAATGTTTTGTGGGACTATTGCAGGGGTGTAATTCCATCAGTCCTCCCTTGGGGTGTATTCTATGTGTTTCCCTTTCAGCTTTAGCAGTTCGAATTGAATAGATATGGATTTTACTTTTAGTCTGTTTGTACAAGAGTCGGTCCATGTGCACACGGCAAGCCTTCTTCTTCAGAAAGCCTCTCAGCATCACCAGACCCTTCTTAACAGAAAGCATTGCAGAAGGAAGTATCATGTGCATAACGCTTACCTGTGACAGCACTGAGGGAGGTTAAGAAATGCTCTTTGATCTCCATTCACATTCTGGAGAAGAGAGTGTAGTGGTGAAAGGACTGAAGTAATACTGTGTGGAAAAGCAGAGCCACAAGCACCTCCTCTGAAAGCACAATCACGTTTTCCTAAACCAGCATCAGTGGAAAGCCCAAGCATGCAGACTGTGTGTAAGGGGTTTGGAGGAGTGAGCGTGACTGGAGGTATAGAAGTGTTCTCCATGGAGCATGGCAGCGGATGGCCAAGAAAGGAAAGAGATGTGCTTTCAAGTGGGAAACACAGAGCACTGGAGGGGCAGGTAAAAAGTAAGCTGCTCTACGGTAGAAGCGCTTATTGTGCTTTGTGCATTAGTGTTTGAAGAACTTGGCTGTTAGAAGTTTGTTAATGGTTTGAAAAGTGCAGACCTTTGTGGTAGTGATGAGTAGGCTAGGTATCTACCTATCTTAGTTATTTTACTAAGCATAACTTCAAAGAGGGCTACTTAGGCCTTTCTTAAAAAGCATGGTAGGCATGCAAAAATAAATATACCAATATACCACAGCAAAGCTGTTAACATACCACACACCATAATTTCATTATTTCTGTGCTCCTGATAATTCCCATGTATATAACAATGCAGTAGCACATGAGGTTTGTACCTATTCACTTATCTTCCCTTCCATCTTGCCTTTCTTCCTTCAGACTCCTTCCTTAAATCCATCATATAATCTGCTGGGAAGAAGGATGTTAGAAAAGGTTAATATTCTGAGCCTATTTTAA